GTCATTTTCTTACCGGCTTCTGTCTGTTGGATCTCATGAACCATCTGTAAAACTGACTAAATATATTCAACATGGTACAAAAAGTAGAACTCTGGAAAGATATAGAAAAAGGTACTATTAAGGGATCTTATAGGTCTTTCCGAAATAATTCTTTGCGAGAAAAAGAGCAGCAAATCAGAGAGAAATAAAAGTAGAACAACAATTCGATCAAATTGTAATAGATAAAAATCCAACATTAAGACAACAAGAATCCGTTATTTTACGGAAATATAATCAGAAGAGAGAACAGCATTGAGAATGGACAAATTTTCTGACAAAGTCTCACCTTGCTCAATTGTTCGCTCAATTCTTCGATCTTCGCCTTTACCACTTGAGAACTTTTCAACGTTTCTTTTTCGACGATTTCCTGAGAAAACTATTCTATTACAACTAATTCCATACATTTAGTCCTGTTTTTACTTACAAATTTCCTCCTGGCATCCTTCAATGCTTCACTTTCGTTCAATTCTTCCATACGCTTCTTTAACTGTTTTTGATGTTCCTGAATTATAAAAATTCGTCAGAGGAAGTAGAAATGTCACATAAATAAGAAATTAAATCTAACGACGCCTGGTGCTGAACACAATTGGATTTTACACAGTAAAGTACCAACTTCAACCAAAGAGAGATCTCAAGGAAAACAAAACGAAACCAGAAGGTAAATGGGAAAGATTTAGTTTCAGATATGGCAAAATAGGACAACCAATGAAGCCAAAGAAACAGTATTTGATCACTTTTTTGTTTGAAATCAATTCCGTAAGAGAAACACCAAGAAAGCAATACCCACCTGCAGCTCTTTATTCTTTTCTAATTCTTCTTTGACATTATCAATAAGTTTTCCTAGAAATCCTTTTCGTTGTGGATTTGCATTGCTGCTATTCCAACGGATTTGATCAGACCATCGAATTGGATCGAAACTATGCAAACTGGCAATAAAATTTGGATGTCGAATCTGTGGCGTAAACCTGACTGTAAGGTAAGCCGTTCTTCCGAGGGCTCGTAACATACTGAAATAAAACATGTAAAAATTAAAAAATAAAAAGTAATTTGGATATAAGAACGAGAATTAGCACGAAAAAGCAAGAAGCATCAAGAAATTCAGCCCAAATAGGATAAACGTAGAAAAATAGCTTATTTGCCGGTATTGGCAGAACATGATGCAACCGCAACAGAAGTTCAGTGGGGCATTGGTAAGAAAAATTCCAACGCAAAATTATACCTCGGAAATTGAAGTAATACAGAAAAAGGTTTTTGGGTGGAATGCCCTGAGCGAAAGA